TCCTCTCGGGCTCTAAACTTGCTTATACGTCTTCCTGTTGCAGGACTGGGCTTATCCGATGAGGAGAGAAATGCAGGTATGTTACATTCCTGCATGTGGGACATTTACAAAAGGTTTTTACGCCTAAACAAATACAATTTTGCGGATCTGGAAGCTACACATTTACATTATGTCAATGTTTAACTTGTCGATTTCATCTGCTTAGATAATGAATGGGTATATAGCAATATGTTCAATGTTCATCGATTAAGATTAGGCATAACATTATAGCCATTTGCCTAATAGTTTGTTGGTTTCTACATTGCAGCTTCTCAAAAATGCATTCCCTTTAATTCAAATTCAGTTTAAAAATACTTTATTTATCCCAAAAAGAAATTAAATGTTGGTGAAACAAATTTTATTAAAGTATCTTCAAAGAGTCTTTATAGATGGGGATGCTGTGGGCAGGATGGATCTGCAGTAGTAGTCAGTCTTGCAACAAATCTAAGAGGCCTCTGACTGAAGAATATTGCTGTATGACAGTCTGATGCCTGTCACAACAAGCTCTGTTTCCAGGCAGAAGAGATGATGTTCCTCAGTGACATGTCAATGGTGGATCTAGTAGTCCATGCTCGCTATCTCTGCCACATTAGTAAATCTGCAACCTGTCTCTCTGCATTTATAATATTTTCTGGGCCCTTTTGGTTTCCACTACATCTGCCAGTGTAAAAACAAATCACCAGCATAGGAATTTACCCCAGAAAAGGGGTCTGGCAGGTTGGTAGTACATGTTTAGACACCAGGAACATTTGAATAGAGTTTTATGGAGAGAGAGCCATAAATTACATATTACAGCTATCTGTTTAGTAAAGGGAAGTAATTTCTTCAAAGCAATATTTTAAGATAATAAATTATGTTCTGAGGCACAAATGAAAGCAAAAAGAACCCCTGTGGATCATTAACAGTTTAAAGTGCCACTGCTCTAGATAATATTTCTTTAGAACCTGTTTTTAAGCTTTAATTATTGAAATTAAAAGTCTATGATCATTAGCGCTTTCCTCTAACTAAGTAATTTAAATTTCCTCCCAGTGTTAATGCCAGACTGTAATTGTGACAACAGGAGCAATTGCTTCAGAAGTGAGAGTTTTATATGTTGGCAAATTCCTGTAAGATTAGGTACACATACTTAGACCTGTTTGTAGCAAATTTACAGAAGTCTAATCGCTGGGATATAATTGCAGTTAGCAATTGTAGTTTTATTTCTGTAATCACAACATTTTTATTGCAACAGGAGCCTCTCCCAGAATGAGTGGCTGTCCTGTACATTCATTGAAATGCCTGCAGAGGGAGGAGTTATGACTCAGCCAATGTATTTTTAGAAATTTCCCTTTTTAAAATTAAAACCGTACAAGGCTAAATCAGAACATTCTGGATCACATGGTTAAAATTCTCCTTGTCAGTGTATGCTGTGTGTTTCCCAGATAAGCGATGTATTCCACTGTCTGCACATAACTGAACAGAAAATAAAGGCTACCTTCTTCTATTGCACCTCTGAAGCTCTTGTGCCCATTGTTAATTTTTTCAGCAGATTACTCAGACTGGACAGACCAGCCTTTACCCCTCAGTGGTCATAATGTTATGCCTGATCAGTGTTTTGTCTGCAAAGCATGATTTAATTTATGCTACTTTTCATTTATTGCTGCGAAACAGTTTTCTTATAAATGTGACATTAAAAGATAGAAATCTTATCGTACCATCTGTCAGACAAGCACAGCGCTGCTGTACTTTGTGTGCAGCGTAGCAGCTAAACCATGAAATGTAGCTGTACTTTCTGATGGTGTGTCATTATGTATATTTCTGTTCAGGAGATTTTACCTGGACTGTTTTTAGGGCCCTACTCTGCTGCAATGAAAAGCAAGGTAATGCTTTAAAGTTTTACCTCCCGAATAAACATGCACATTTCTAAAAACAAATAAACATGGTTTTAATTGTACCTCTCAATGTTTTGTCTTCTTCTAGCTGCCAACTCTTGAGAGACATGGCATAACACACATCATTTGTGTTCGCCAAGACATTGAAGCCAATTTCATCAAACCCAATTTCTCTCATAGATTTAGGTAAGGTAACACACATATAATATGCTCAGAACACAATATGCTTATTGTTTGAGTTAATCTAATTTCATATATTTCTTCTAGATATCTTGTTTTAGATATTGCTGACAATCCAGTAGAAAATATAATTCGTTTTTTTCCTATGGTAAGTCATAGGCGTGGCCCTGTAGAAAAAAAACACACATTTTATTCACTCTAAGAGCATTGACATTATTTACAATACACTGTCTTTTATTTAATTTTTGCAGACTAAAGAGTTTATTGACAGCTGCTTGGCAACAGATGGTAAGTTTCCCTGCTGTTTTGTTATGTTTAAATATTTTTCTGTTCAATTAAGTGACCCTTGTTTTGCTCCTGTAGGAAAGGTGCTGGTTCATGGTAATGCAGGGATATCGAGAAGGTGAGACAATACTTTGTTGTATGTTTTTAATGTCAAGTCAAAAAACACAAGAGGCTCCTAAAGTGAAGGTGCATTAAGGGCTAGATAGCAGATCAATAACACAATATGTAAATAGCCACACGATCAATGTCATTACATAATACCTCTGTTACGGTATTCAATAATTTTACTGAACTCTGACCCAGAACCACACAGCATTCTAGGAGATGGAGGCAGAGGAAAGACTGTAGCTGCTCAACCTCTCACGGCCAGCTGAGCAAGGTTGATGGCATCAACTAACTCAGTCTCTGGTTACCTACCATCAACCTGTTGAGTAACTTTGGCAGTAGCAGTTTAATGTTTGCCCTCATAATTGCTTACAAATGAACAACAGTGTGCTTAAAATAGGAAAGATCATGCTAGCAGTTTAGTATTTCAGATATTTAAAACAATAAACTAATCAATAGTTATTGACGTTATCTTCCTGGCCTCGGTGCATCTCAAGAAAATGAAATGGATTTAAAAATAAAACTTAAATATTTTGAAAAATATTTAAGAAGAAACTCACTAATTCAAACGATATTTTCCATATCTCTGTTAATATTACTGAGTATGGTTTACAACATTAAAAAAATAATCTATGTATATTAGAATTTTGGGTATATTAAAAAACAGATTCTTTTTATGAAATGAAACATTTTTAGCTCTGTAATGTTTTACATATTCACTGATCAGTAGTTTTCTATTCAGAAAATAAAATTGAATCATTTGTTTGAATAACAATATTATGTTTACTTCTTGTAGTGCTGCCTTAGTGATTGCCTACCTTATGGAAACATTTGGGATGAAGTACAGGTAATTTGCTTCCTCTCATTTTTAGTCAAAACTAGTAAACATTGCCACAAAGTCTTTATCATTGCAGTTTATAAATCTTTCAAATTAACTGACTGTAATTGCAGGGATGCATTCAGCTACGTACAGGAGAGGAGATTTTGCATCAATCCCAACGTAGGTTTTGTCCACCAACTGCAGGTAAGACACTATTAAACCTGATTTACCCAGTTAGCAAGTATGTGAGCATATCAAAAAATCTTGATATGGTTATGTTTTAATCTGCGTCAATCTTAGGATTCTATTAACATTTGTTATGCCACTGCAATGTATAGTTATTATTGCAGTGGCAATTAATATATGTATGTTGAATAACCAGAATAGGTAATTGTACTCTGGATACTTTTTCCATAGTACATATTTGAGTTTATAAACCCATAAATTGATGATAAAATACAAATTAACAGTATTGATATGAGACTCAGTGAATTGGAGTATAAGCCAAAGGATTGCTGTCACTTGAATTATTTGGTCATTGTAGTTATGAGGATTTACTTTGACTCTTTTTGCAGGAATACGAAGCAATCTATCTGGCCAAACTGACCATTAAAATGATGTCACCAATAGAGTTGGGAAGGTCGTTTTCTCTACAAGCTGGGATGCCAGGTTTGTTCCAGATGAGCCATCTCTGGTTTGTAAAAATGGACCAGTGTTTTAAAAAATAATTCTTCTAATCATTGCTTAGAGCAGTGGTGACCAAAGTTTCTTCCACAGTGCCTGCAAAGATGTAGTTTCTTTTTGTGTCTTTTGATATAAAACAACCGTTATGTGAATGGTGGGAAGTTTCATTTGTGACCAAATCACAATATTTATTTGACAGGAAGTCGCAAGCGCAGCCTGGAGGAGGATGAAGATTTTGGAGCAATGCAGGTCACAACAACACAGAACGGCTGAGCTTTACGGACTTTAAGCTGTGTGGCACTGTGCACTCTTTTCTTCATGTTTTTTACATTTTTAATGGGATTAAAAATGTAAATATTTGAATTTTTTCTAAGGGGAATGGGAAAGAGGGTGGGAGGACAGCTTATCCATGCCTGAGACATGGAGTACTGATGAACAATGGTCAAAATGGATAACCATTTTATTATTTGAGCAGTATGCACTGATGGGAGGTTTTTTTTTTGTTTGTTTTTTTTTCGCAGTTTTATAGTATTTAAGCATTTTGCATTTGCAGCGGGACAGTATTGCAATAATGCACTTTGAATACTTGAATTAGTGAAAATAAACTGATCGGGGATGTCTGCATAAGGGAGCGAAGAGAAGATGTCACCCAGCAGAGGACAAAAGGAGTAGCTATGCCTTATTTCAGAAGTCATAAGGTGATGAACTAATAAGGCCTAACAGTCAAGAACAGAAAAATGCTAAACACTGCTTAATAAAAACAAGTACTGAGTACTATAGTAATGTCTTCATTATTTATGTACTTCTACACTTTCTTCAACGCTTGTTTTCCAGCAATTGGTGGACATTAACATTTTTCAGTCAGCCTTTAGGTGTAAATCAAAGATTTAAAAAGTTTTTCAGTTCAATATATATATATATATATTTTTTTTTTTCATGATTTTGCTTGCATCTAAAGCTACCAAATTGAAATTGCCAGAAAAAAAAAAACTTTTTAATGACTATGGTGCTATTTTCCAGCATATGACTGAGTGGAAAGAAATGTGTGATGGACAGAAGCAGAACTAGTCTCAAAAGGAATTAGGCATTTAACAATGGGGCAGAAATTTAAGCATTTTGTGTCCATTGAGCATACCACTGATGCAGTAATTTATGCAAAAGGAGCCCCTACAAACAAATTGATCTATTGAGTAATTTCATAGCAGAAAAATGTGAAACTCTTGATCAAAGAATATTTTATTGGATTTACATTTGGAAATAAGTTATTTTAAATACGTTCCCCAGAATAAAAGCATAATTATAAAACAACTACAAAACCTTAAATAAAAGTGAATTTACAAAAATCACTTGCCGTTTCTTTTACAAAATGATCAATGCTAAATCCAGTTAACCAACTAAAAAAACAAACACCCTCATCAAATTATTACTACTGCATTTGAATTTTTTTTTCTCCACTGGAAATAGTTGAACAGTCTTCATATATTCAAAACGTAATTCTCGGTACCCAACAACAAAACCGATATGCTGAGAAAAACAGCACTTCATACCAATCAGACAAGAAAAGTGAAACCCAAACAAAACCCAGATCTCAGGTTGGTTCCTCGTGAATGTCAATAGTTGCTATGAATTGGAGGCAGAAAACTCATCTTAGATCAAATTGTACAATGAGAATGTGTAGCTTAAAAGTAACATGGGACAAAGATTAACTTTTTTCCATATGACAAAAGCCAAATTTCATGTTTTTGTAGGATTGTCTTTACTTGTAGTGTAGCAGTCAAATTATGTTCTTTGTCCTTTTTGTACTCAATTACCCATTTACATAATACATACAATCTTTAAGACGGATGAAGGTAAAATAACAGCAAACACCCACCCTGGTGAGGTAGCAGCGATTACCAAAGGATGGATTATTGTCAAACTGAGCTTCAATGAACTGACACTCAAGTTTTCAGAAATTAAGATACCTTGTCAGGCAAGATAAAACCAAATCCCAGTTAGCTAGTGCTAAAGACCCCACTGTAAGTGCTGACATCAGATGTAAAAATGGTCCATGCCCCCAAAACGGAGGTGGTCAAAGCTGCAGCTCTCCTCAGTCGAAGAATCTGCACTGCATGTAAGTTTCATCCAAGGAGGCATATCCGAATTTTTGGTAGAAAGCCACGTTTTTGGGTTTACATTCCAGAGTGATTTTGTAGCAGTTAAGTTTTTTGCTAAGAAGAGTAAGCGTTGACACTAACCTGCAAGAAGAAAGAGACAAGCTATTTTATGTACAGCGGCTGTCAAAGGTAAAAATACCACTTAAAATATAACAGGTCTTGTGATGTAATTATGAGACTACAACTGACTCAAAAAAAAGCCATTCTGTGTCTGATCTTTTTTAAGTTTTGGGAAAAACATTAAATTTTTAGAATTCCTACATCATTCCATAATTAAATTGACATCACACTATATGAGGAAGAAAACTAAAATGATTTCTCCTGATCTCACTATTTCACATGACGAAAACATGACATTTTACAAGGATTGTGCATACTTTTGAAAGCCAGTAAAGTTTTCGTCAATTTTGTGCTTGTACACATTCACTCTGACTAAATGCTACTGCAGCACTAAAGCAAATATTTATACTTTATCTCTTTCATAAGTATAAAAGCTAGTGGGCTGTCAGGTTTGCACAGGCCTACTCACAGTTTCCCGAGCTGCTTCCCTCTGCATACGTCACTGACAACCACCTCCTCCACCCGGCCTCTCTACAAATAAAATAAAGCAGCAGATCTTCATTTTGTTCATTTTAAGAATCTGTTGTTTTACAAGGTGAAATTTATTCGTCTCGATTTTAGAAAAGCAATATATATGTAAAAAAAAAAAAAAGAAAAAACAAGCTGACTGAATATTTGGCTGCTAATAATCAGTGCATTAATGTGTAACTATTAAGTGGTGATAGGCAAAATCAAAAGAAATCTGGATTACTCAAGCTTCCTGATCAGTGTACTGTACCTTGGCACAGGAATGAATAAATTTGTGTTCAATGATCAGTGTAGCTGTGGCGATAATTTGTCCCAGGTTTTTGTCCTCCACGACGACAACATAGTAGTTTCCTGTCATCTTCATGTGCTTGAACTTACCTAAAACAAACAGAAAACCTTTCTAAAAGACAAACCTTTTTTTATTAATGGTTTTCCTTCTAGCGTGTTTTCTACAATGTGAGCTACAATGTTTATATTGTGACTGCCCCAAGGCCTTTTCCACCACTTCTCAGTGTGTATTGCCTATTGTGGTGTTCCTTCCCAGGAAAACTGGAACCAGTTTGTGCACAGAAGGAAGTTTGATTTGATCCCTGAAACGTATCATTCTGAGTTTCGACTACAGTATAGTTTCGTCCAGTCTTACCTGGTTTTTCTCACCTGTTGCTAAAATATACAATATAAATATATATTGTTGAATTAAATGACAAGTATCTAATTGCTCATGTGTGTGGCAATGTTGCAGATGTAGGCTTTAATGAATTTAAAAGTGGTAGCAAGATTTACAGTCAAAGACTTTGAAAAACCTAATGGTAAAATCTTTAAGAGGTTAATTATTTTTGCAGCATTAAGTGTGACTTACTAACAAACTGCTCTGGCGTGACATCGCCTGTCTTGGTAAGTTGAGCTAAAACGTCAAAGAATCCTGGAAAACAAAAGCAACAAAGGAAGAGAATTACACCTCCCTGTCAAATTGAAAATATGATTCAAGTCTAATGAAGTATTCTGATTTTTATATATATATATAGATGAGAGAGAGAGATCTGATGTAAGTAATTCTGACTGACCTTTTTCAAAATCTGCTGTACACAGTGGCCTGAGCTCCAGGTCATCTCCTGGGTTGGTTGGTGAGATGGGAGGGGAGAAGGACACGGTGTTGCTGTTCCAGTCCAACTCCTGAAGCAAAGAGGGATCAAAAAGTGGAGACTCGTCCAGCAGCATTCCACAATCTCTGTCTGGAAGACACACAGACATCAAATTTAAAATAATGGTATTGTAAGAGACTAAACCTTAACACATTGTTGTTCAGTTTAATTGGAAAACACATACATGTCAGCTTGTTCAGCCCGTTAAGGAATATATTTGCTCTGCGACACAAAACTTTGACCTGTCCACAATAGCTTCCTCCTGTGAAACATATTCAGCCCCTGAAGATTACGAAACAAGTTGAACAAGATTACAGTCGCACCTACAACCAACACGCATCCTTTGACAGAATGACGCTCCATTCATGAGTCCATTCAAGTTTCCAGGATGAGGTCAGGGACAGTCCAGAATGTCCACTCTTAAGTGGTCCATTTCTTTTCCCGATTTAGCCCAACCTTCAATTGAGTTTCCATGTTAATACGATGTAGTTTTACACTTTATTGCTCTTAACCCATCTATGAGCCAGAACACACAGTTACACAAGGATGTGAATCAGTAACTGAATCTATCAGTAGCACATTGTAAACTACGTATCCTTGATAACACAACGCCTTCATTGACATAAATATTTAAAAAGTAACATTTGTTAGGGTTCAATGACTTTTGTCCTACTATACCTACACGAGGCCACTTTAACCCGTTTCCATTAACTTCTACTTCCCGGTGTACAAAATACAACTAAATGTTGGTAACCGAGCAGAACTGTTAGCTTACCAGTGAAAACCCCAGTGAGATACTGTCCAGCTGAATTCCCACCCGGATATAATGATACGCGTTAGTTCTGAATGAGGCTGGGCTTCATGCTTACGCAGAGCACCGGGGCTGTTGTGTCTGCTGCTTCCGCCCAACAGCGTATGACGTGGCATACGCTGTTGATGGGAATTGCGGCTCTTCGTTTGGGATCCGCATCATTTGGCTCAAACGAAGTCAGTTCGCCTCTCATCGTGGGTCAACATCAAGCCATGCTTTGACACGTATAGAGATTCCCAAAATTAGGACTTCGAAATGATCTGTGCACTATGACATCTCAGTAAAATTACTTTGGAGTGAAGGAATCGTTTGACAATTTTTAACGATTTTGAGCTGGCATATTGAGTTGGATCAGTCATGACCAACACATCTCTATGAGTTTAAGGGTGCAGCCTAATGACATCAGAAACAATCCAACTATGGCAATCTAAATAGATACTACAGCAGTTCCGCGTCCTTTTTTGATTCCACCCTCAGGAACTTTGACATCCATCAAACAATTTTGTAGGAGCCATAAGCTCAAAGGTGATTCAAAAATGCATTTGAAGGAATTTCATTTTAGAGACTATGTTCTTTAAAACACAAAAAAGGGGGGGAAAATACACATTTCTTCAAAAGCTGCAGCTCTGTTTATTGAGTCTTTCATATCAACATATTTTACAAAAACTAGATTTACAGAAATTAACTAAACCATCCTTGATTTAGGCACAAAATATGGGAAAGCTCAATCCAAAAAAAGAAAAAAAAAATTCTGATTCTTGATTAAATCAGTAATAGTTATGAAAGGAAACCATGAGCAGGTAAAAGTAATGGGCTTTTAAAGTTGCTAAGTAAAAAATTGAAAAAAAAAAATCCAGTTTCTGGATTATATATTTATATACCACTCCCGACCAAGAGAACTAAAATTAGTACAAAATAAAATAAAGAATTACAACACTTTAGCTTCTAGGGTAAGCTTTAGGACTGATCTTTGGTGTATGGACACAAAATGGCTTGTCAACATTTCATGCATTTTGAAAATGTCTTTTTTAATACACAGCAGTGATTCACAATCCCCACTCTTTTGTCTATTGATATGTCTCAATCAGGAACGCATTCAAGCTTCAAGAGACAAAGTTTCTGTCCATTGGTGTACTTTTAAAACAAATTAAGTTAGCAGCTTTTAAGGTTTTCCTTTTTAGTTTGCAGATTACACAATGGCAGCACAAATGAGTTACCCAGTAGTCTTTTTATAGATCTTAATTTAATCCATTTATAGAAGTTAAACAAGCACAACATTTTAGGTCCAGTAACTTGCTGAGGTACTAAAATCATTTTTTTTTATAGGTAAGGTATTCAAGATTCTCACCTGTGACTTAACATCCGCCAGGAATATGCAGCAAGTGCAGCTGCTGCAGACTAAGCAACTTTAAACCCTACAAATATCGCTTACGACACCACACTCAGCTGAAAACATTTACCTGCTCATCAGTTGAGGGTCATTTTAAAAAAAAGAGAGGAAAACACCCAGTGTACTTGCACAAAAAAAATGTTATCTGTCCCCATTTGCTGGAAATCAGTATCAGTAAAAGATTTACATGCCAAACTTTAACCATCTTGTTAAATAACAAAATGCAAACTGTTTACAATGGGTGACATAACACTTAACACAGAACAACCCTTGTGGGTCAAAACAAAAACACTGTTTGCAGCATTTCTTTTGATAGAAACATTCATGGTTGACTGAAAGGCTGACCAATATTAAAGTGACATTCTCTTACTTCAAGGTAAGAAATAAAAGCTTTGCTACTTATTTCACAGTTGAAACTATTCAAATGTACACACAAATGGATCAGATGAATTTCTTCATCAGGAATATGCTGTTTCTGCCATTAGCAAAGCAAGAGACCAAAAGTAATAAAAAGACTCATAGAAGCTTCATCTAGAAATGACACTTTCTGACGAAGCTCAAAAAAAAAAGTTCTTGTAATTGTGTTTGAATGCAAAATGTGCTCATTTTTGACAGCCAGTCCAAATATTGACAGATGCTGTCTAAGCTGGTGGTTGCAATGTGTAGCATGTGAAGAGAGGGCGCTGCAACCTTGCAAGTCTTTGACTTGCCACAACCCATCACTTTCTATTATGCTCCAAATACTCAGGATGGAATAGCAGAGGCCACTTTCAATAGTCTCGCCTTCTTCAGGCTGCCCAGAACAGTCCACAGGCCATATTTCCAATGCTTTTTAATTAAGAGTTTTACAAAGGTGATAACTATTGACTAGATCAAATGGGGAAAGGCTGAAATAGGCCTTGTTGCCTCTTAAGATGATGAAGTAGTATACTTTCTTGCTCAAGTCCTTTATGCGTTTCAGGGTGCAGGTTCCTCTTGGTGTTGCATGCGTCTTTCTGCAGCTTCTGCCATGGTTCTACGCCTCAGCACAGTGGAGTCCGGTTGTGTGAGAGAGTCCTCTTCTAGTCTGGGCAAGTCCTCCTCATAATCTTCTTGACCCTTGTTTAGAAACCTCCTACATGGAGGAGGAGAGCCAGGAAGAACCGTTTTGAAAGTAAGTTTAACATAAAAAAGGTAACCGGCAGAAACCTAAGACATCTCATGTAGATCTGACTTTTTAAAATGAAAAAAATTAAACATGCAATAAATGTTTTATAATCACTTTTTTACTATTTTGCTTCCACTAAATTTATTTCAACATCCAAACAAATTGGATCGGATTTGAACTTCAGTGTATCTCTACTCAAATGTAATAAAGCCAACCTGCGCGCTTGCTGGAGCATTTCTTCTTTTCTCAGCTTTAGCATCTTCTGCCTCTCCTCGGCAGACTTGGAGAAGCGACCTCCTCTGGCCTCCATGTTATCTGACTCACTTGTGCTCTGCTCTGCTTCTCCGCTGGGACCTGGCTGCTCATCTTCTGCTTGGTTCCCCTGGAGCGGACCACGCTCTATGGCCTAACAACAAGAGGAAAATAAGAACAAGAAGAGAATACCTACAACACAAACCTGCATGTTAATATGGAAAACACAACATGAAATATGGCTTCGCTAACCTGTGTAGGGAAAGGCACCTGGATTCGTCCTTCCAAAATGTTGTCTGTTGTGACCTCAACAGAACGGGTCAGCTGCAGGTCCTGAATGACCAGGTAGGAGGGCACCTGAGGGAACATCTCCTGAATCTGATGGGCCTTTTGAACCAGAAACACATTATTAAGTTTTTTTGTTGCGATATTTATTTTTTCCAGGTGTGTTAGAATACATAATATAAAAAAAAGAATTCAGACTTTTTCAGAAACAAATTTCCAAAGTTGTTTTGAATACAAAAATTCACTACTATGCAACCATTTTTACAGTCATCAGGTTTTGTAAATGGAACAAAAAAATGCAGATTGTAAGGAAGTATGGAATGCTAATAAAGCATGATTAGAAAGATCGAGTAACAGATAGTTCAGCGATTTATTTTTGTTCAACCAAATGAGGAAAAAAACAGGTTCTGGAAAATCTCTCAATTCTTTTTCTCTTTTTAGGAGTTTCAGGTGAAGCACAAGGATCCATATGACTTTCAAAGTAGAAACTTAGAAGTTCTGCAACAGTTATTTTGTTCAGAAATATCTCACAATTAATACAAAAATATCTTTATGATCTCAATGTTTAACCTTTGCTATCCAACATACATTTACATCAAATTAAGAAAACGTTTCAACAAGTGTTGAAGATAGGCCAAAGTGACAAGGGCAAGTACATGTGATGATAAATAATTAAGACTTACCATGGCCATAAGCTGGGAGTTGTTAGCCTGAGCCATGCCCAAGATATTAGTAGTATGCATTACTTCAACAGAAAAACTGGGCAGCCAGCTGGCAATGCGAGATCCTGCAAGAACATGTAGGCAGAAAACAACAGCTGAGTCTTGGTTTCCTCCACAACTCCATGCTGGATCTGTGTCTGGCAGACTTACCATCAAAGTGGAAGAAGTGATTGTGTTGGTTGATGTGTGGCCGAGTTTCTGGAGCAGCACCTACTGGGCCAATGTTGTCTTCCAGCCCAGGACCCTGCTGCTGGTTTCCACCCAGAGCTCCGTCCCCGTTAATGTTCAGAGATGTTCGACATGTGGGACATGACGTGTCTTGCTCAAGCCACGAACGCAAGCAAGAGCTGAAAAGCCACCATCCAGATATTATGCATTTGCTTATTGCATAAGACCTGTTTTGGCCAGCACATTTTTGTTAACGACTTCATCCCAAAGGTTTAATCTCCTGGTCCAAAACAAGGGTTTAAAAACAAATATAAAATACAGAAACATTGGCTTGTTTACTTGTGGAAAAGATGGCCACAGGGCAGTTTCCGTGCTGTTAGCATGGTGTCCCAGCAGATGGCACAATCGTCATCATTTGCAGCCAGTTCCTCTGCAGTAGCAACTGCAAACCTACACAAAATGCAATTTATACGGAAATATTTATAAGGACAAGTATTATTGGAAAATACTGTAGATAAAGGATTAAAAATGGCATGATTACAGTTTTAGCACCAAGATGTTTTAAAGTATTAGATTTTAGAAAAGGAAAGCACAATTGAGAGATCTCTTGACAATCCACAAAACAAAAATATTTTAAAAGTATAAAAACTTATTTACAGAAAAATAAAAGATACAGCTTTGCCATGCTTTTGCCAACACCTTTTGTTAAATCTTGAGGACATTTGAAGTATACA